GAGAGGTTTTTTTTTTTTTTTTTTTTTTTTTTTTCCCATTCGGCCAGTCTATGTCTCTTAATTGGAGAACTTAATCCATTGACATTTAATGTAATTATCAATATTTCCATACCTGATCCTATTGTTAAGTGAGCCATTTTCTTGCTTTTTGTTCTCATATAACTGTCTGACTTTTTAGTTTCCTAGTATAGCACTCTCTTCAGAACCTCTTGAAGAGCTGGTCTAGAGTTGGTAAATTCCTTCAAATTTTGTTTATCTGAGAATGTTTATCTTTTCTTTCCATATGAAAGATAATCTTGCTCGGTATAGTATTCTTGGCTGAAAGTGTTTTTCACCCAACACTTTGACTATGTTTCCCCATTCTTTCCTTGCCTGCATTGTTTTCGCTGAGAGATCTGATGTTAGCCTAATGAGGTGACCTTTGTAACTTGGCGTTTCCCTCTTGCCAACTTTAGTATCTTGTATTTGTCTGTTGTTTTTGCCAGTCTGGCTATGAGGTGCCTTGGAGAAGATCTTCTTGGGTTGATTCTACTCGGGGTCCTATGTATTTCTTGGGTGTGGATATTTGAATGCCTTTCTAGGTTTGGAAAGTTTTCTTCCAGGATTTCGTGGAATAAATTATCTAGGCCCTTATTATTTTCTTCCTCTCCTGGGATACCAGTTTTCTGGATGTTGGGGCGCTTGATGATATCCAGTATTCCTCGTATATTATCCTCATTTTTCATGGTTGTTTTTCTCAATCTTCTTGATGCCTTTTTCTAGGTCAGATGTTTTGTCTTCTACGTTAGAGATTCGATCTTCTGCCTGATTTAATCTACTTTTAATACTTTCAAGGGAGGTTTTGATTTTCTGTATCACATTCTTCAAGAAGTTCCATATGATTCTTATTTAAGGTATCCATTTCTTCTTTTAAGTCATGAAAGGACTTCCTCACCTCCTGGAGCTCCTTGTCTCTTTATTCTTCCACCTCAGTTAGTTTGGTCACCACAAATATTCTGAATTCCTTATCAGACATGTCCATGACATCCATTGTATTGATTGTGGGTGATGTGGGCTTGATGATTTCCCTTGAGGGAGAGGCCTTTTGTTGGTTGCTCATACTTCTTGAGTCTCTGTGATTGTTCCTAGTCATCAGGTAATCTATATGTTGCTTCCTAACTTATATAAGGTATCTCTGAGAGTTAAAAGTTGTACAGGATTAGAAAATTGATGATTTCTCTTTGGCCTACCTGTAGCTCACCATTACCATTAACTGTTGCCACTAGTCCTGGATGGCCCAAAGTCCTCCCTGTTTCTAAGGAGTGGTGAGCCTCCAAATGACCTAATAAGCAACACCTCAAGAGCAAAGAAAAACAAAACAAAAAAAGAAATTGTGCGGCACATTATTCAAATCACTAAAATTCAGAGAGTCCAAAGGCAAGTGGGGAAGGGCCAGAGGATGAGTGACAGGTCCTGGGCAGACAGGCCTGCAGCCTCAGGCCGCCTAGTGTTGGGAACTGCTGGCTGGCTCGATCCAGTTTGCGAGTGGGATAGGGTGCAAGTTCGTCTTAAGGTCCCATGCAACCAACCTGAGGTCCAAAGAGGAGTAGGGGTGGGGGTGCAACGAAGGTCCGGGTGGTCGGGTCTGCAGCCTCAGGCCGCCTGGTGTCCAGAACTGCTGGCCGGCTCCTAGTTTAGGTTTCTTAATGTTAAAATCCAACTCTATTATCTCACCAAAAAATCCACTGTACATACAGAAAATGAAAGAAGAAATTTTAAAGATATCAAATTAAGCTTCAGACATTTCATTAAAATTTGCCCTGAAATATCAGCTATGAAAATAATGCTTTATCTCAGGAGACGGTAGCTTAACTCTATTCCTCTACTGAATCCAAACTGGAATGACTTAATCATTAAGTGATGTGGGTTAACTTGTTCAAGAACACTGCCTTGCAGGCTGGCTTCCAGGGAAAGGAGTTGACTCTCTACAAATCTCCATGTATACTGGCCCTGGCCACGTGTTTAAGATAATCAATTACAGTCTATGAGAACTAGGGCTCCCCAGTCGCATGGGCGAGGCAGAAAGTGATGGTTCCCTCTCCTCTATGAGCACTGAGAGCTGGCAGTTTAGAGGTAGTAGGCATTGCTTTGATTGTGCAGGGCTTTTTTGTTTTTTTGATTGTGCATAGTCTTTAGGATCATACTGCTAAAAACATGTCCCGTTACACTTCTTTTGAATAAATACTTGAGGATTTTGATCCCATTTGTTTAAAATTTCCATGAAAAACATTCGTCTGCAGCTGATCTGGGTACACCTGTTGGGCACGAACTTTGCTGTTTTAACTTTTCAGTCAGAATTGTGTAAGCTGAACCAATTGAGATTGATGTCTATGGTACTATTATTTTTGCTTTCGCTCTTCTTCAATCAGAGCATAAGCAAGATCATTTTTTCCCCAGTGTGTTCATTATGGATAAATTTCTCTCTTCTGTTTTCATTTCTTCTGCTTATAATACCTAACGGCCTTGCCCTAATATTATCATCACATCCAAAGGCCTAACCCTTGGACACCATGAAAGATTTTCACTTAAAACTTATGCAATGAGGTCCTAACATATGAATTTCTCAATCTATGGACAAAAGATGTGTATTCCAATAGTCTGTTGAGGTAATCAAGCCTATTTTCTGACACTGTACCAAAAGCTACACAGTTGCTTCCTCAACAGTGGTGAAATACAGGAGCTGAAAACATAAGGGAAAACTTTGCACAGTTCTACTAAAACCCATTGGTTGGCCCAGTGGTAGCACAATGCTATGCTGAAAGTCATATGGAAGAGTGGAGTTTGGGTACCAGGTTGACCTGGACATACTGAACATGGAAGTAGAAAAACCATGAAGAGGGCCAGACACTGTTTCCCCTTCTGCTGAGGAAAAAAACATGGTAATTTCTGAAACTAAAAATAAGGGTTAAGGGACCAGCAAATGGCAATAAAGGTTATGTCTCTGGACTCCACCATTCAAGTTCTGGACTTAGCGGCTTAAAACTTCCAGTGGGTATGTGTGCATGCCCAAGATCCCAAGAAAAGGAATTGTGGCATGGCCATTTCCTGTGGGAGGTGATTTCTCACTGTCTCTTTCTGGTTCTCCAGTTGGTGAGTGCATACGCACTATAGCAAAAATCTCTTTTTTTAAAAAAAAGGACTAAACTAGCTATAAGATTTCCAAACTCCAACTTATTGATGAGTTCTTTCGTTTTCGCCATAGGGCGCCTGTGCTCTCCAGGGAGAGAGGGTGGAGATGGAAGGAGAGAAAGAGAGACAGACAAGAACAGAAATTGGGAAAGTGAGAAACCACTATCCAGGGGACATGGTCACATCACAATTAATTTTTCTTTATTCTCTGCCCAGAACTTTGGGCATGCACGCACATGTGCCCAGCATGAGTTTCAAGCCATTGGGTCTTAGGTTTGAACTGGTTGGCCATGTGTGTCTAACAGTAATGTGCTGCACATGAGGAACTGGATTCCACATGGTTGTCAGTGGTTTGAGTCTGTGTCCCAGTCAGTCTGAAACACACTGAGTGCACATGAGTACCCAGAAATTTTTTTTTTACAAGTTTTAGGAAACAAGGCAAAAACCATTTAAACAATTTTTGCCTGTTTCTTGAAATTAGTAAAATTTCTGCCCTCTTACCTATGTGGCAAATTGAAAACATCTACTCTTAAAGAGTTAAATGACTGGATTCTGGGCATGTATGCACACACAACTGACCTGTTTCTCAGGCCACTGGGGCCAAGACTCATACCACAGTTGGGCCATGTGGGAACTGACTTTCCATGTACAGCACCTAACCACTGCACCACAGGTTGATCCTCTTAATTGACATTTCACCTTCCCCAAACACCTTTCCAAAATGTGTCCTGTTGTGAGGGTAGGAAATAAAAAAAAAAGGAATTCAGCCACAAAGATGTCCAATGTAGTCTTTTTAAAAAATAAATGTTTATTACAAGTATGAAAAGTAATATTACAACATTATCCAAAAATTATGTTCAGTTTAACAAGTATAAAACAAGGTTTCTGAAAAAAAGTTTACAATTACATACAAAATACTTAAGAATATACTTTGACATTCACAGTGGGCATTTCTGAAAAATAAGTTTTGCTAATGCAGTTTAGAAACAGAAATATACAGTCCCAGTAAAATAAACAAGTCCTTAAGTGAAGAACAGTCCTTCCTCCAAATGAATAGTTGGCATTTCAAAGTAAGATTTGTATAAGCATTCTTTTTAAAATAATGGTACACATGGTTCAACAATGTAGAAGTTCAAATACCTTAGTTTCCCTGAGAAATGCCATCTATTTCTTATGTCTGGCTTACCCACAAAGCTTTCAAGCTATTTTATTTGAGCAACTTCAGAGAAATACATAACCTAAGTGGTAACTAAACTCTTAGCTTATCATGGGAATTGAGTATTTCCAAAATATTCTGAATAGAAAGTGACAGAGCCATGTCTAGTGATTACTTTACAGGACTGCTACCAAGGCTTCTGCTTCTCTTGTCCAAGTACATCTGTTTGTAGGTCTGAAACATTGCTTTTGAATCTTTTACTGGGTTTTGTAGCATCTCAAATCCTTCTGCACTGAAGCTTCTTTTGGAGAGTCTTGCATTAACATTGTTATCTAAGGAAACAAAAATTTTACTTATTTATTAATGTTAGCTGTCACCCAATATTTAATCAATCAAAATTGAGAGGAACAGAGGCTAGCATAGGGTGTAGGAGTTATATCGCTGGACTCCCACATGGCCGACCACAGTTCGAGTCCCAGACCCAGTAGCCTGAAAATCACACCAGGCATGTGTGCATACATGTCAAAGATCCCAAGAGGAGAATGGAGAAGACAATGTGATGTGGCCATCCCCTCTGGGTGGTGATTTCTCACTTTCCCTCTTCCTGTCTGTTTCTTTCTTCTCTCTGGAGACTGCATATGCCCTATGGCAAAAAACCTCTTAACAAAAACTAACAGGGAAAATATACATTTACCTGTGGAGTTAAAAAATTAGGGTAAAGGAGGCTGGACTATGATACGGCATTTGTGAAAACACAAGGTTCTGCAAAGGCTGACTCATATGAGAAGGTTCCAGGTTGGTGACTAGAAACTTTCCTGATGAAATTGGGCATGTGCAAATATCCAGGATCTGGGACTGGCTTCGGATGTGGGAAGAACACAGCATCAAGACCCTGTTAGGGATACTCTCTCTCTGGCTCCCTTGCTTGTAGAAAAAATTAAACACACACACACACACACACACACACACACACACATCAGGGCAACGAGTTAAGCAAAAGTTTAACAAATGATATGGCTCTATGCCTATACAATTACAAATTAGGCACACATGACATCTTGCCTTTTTTAGAGACGAGAGAGGTTTCTGCTATAAGGCGCGTGTACTCACCAGAAAGACAGAGACAAACAGAGAGATAGAAAGTGAGAAATCACCCCCCTGGGGGGACGGACATGCCGCAAACTCTTCTCCATTCTCCTCTCAGGATCATGGGCATGCACACACACGCGCCTGGTGTGAGTTTAAGCCACCGGGTCCGGGACCCGAACTGCAGTTGCAGTTGACTACATGGGAGTTCAGCGACATAGTCATTATGCTAACTGCTAGTCCCTCAGAGACAATTTTAACAACAACAACAACAACAAAACAAAACAAAAACCCACCCCAAAAAACAAACAAAAAAACCTTGCTATACGGTGGATGTGTTTTAAGAGGGAGAGTGAGAAATCACCTTCTGGGGAGAGGGCCATACCACAATCCTTTCTCCTCCATTCTCTTGGAATTTTGGGCATGCATGTACATATGCCTGGCAGGTTTTTCAAGCCCCTGGGTGAGAGACTCAAACTGTGCAGTCAGCCACATTGGGCCCAGCCACCTTAACCCCCAAGCCACCAGCTGGCCCTAGAGACAGTTTTCTATTTTCACCCCTCTCTTCACTGGCTAAGGCCACTCTGTTCTATCCTTACCTGTACCCAGAAAAATCTACCACTGCACACATCAATATGAATATGACCTTTTTAACAGCCATGTTACCTAGCAATAAGAAACCCAAGTATGAGCCACAGGGAGTATCAAGGTAAATGCTGGTCTTACCATGTACTAAATATTCTAAAAACAGGCCTGTCTTTCCTCTTACGTCAGATCATCTCGTTGTGCATCAGCATCACTATCCTTTCAACTCATGAGCCCTGCTTTTCCTACTTCTGTTCATTTCAACATGTGTCTCTCTTAACCATAATCCCCATTTGGAGTACCTATGTGTAAAATTTTTTTTTTTTCCTGTTCCAGCCATTCCTTTCTGGAGAATGCAGTCTTGTTTTTCCTCTTTCTGCTGAGTGGGCCAAATAGTCTGTCTTCTGTTTTAAAAATGCTTCTACTTCCATCTTTACTTCTATTCTAGACTAGTTATGCTGATGCCCAAGTTGGACCTCTAAGCTGCTTTCCAAGGAGTCCTGTCACCTTCTCATCTCTTTATCTCACCCAAACTGATCATTTCACAACTTGTTCCATCTACACTCCAATGTTTACTACCAATTTAGATGTGGCTTTTTCTTAATGGGTGTTTACGAGTCCGTGACACTTGTTTTTGTGTCACCTTACAGCTGGTTCATTTTATTTATTTATTTTTAATTATTTTTTGAGATTTTTTTGCTATAGGGCGCGTGCGCTCACCAGACAGAGACAGAGAGACAGAAAGTGAGAAATCCCTCCCTGGTGGGGTGGATGGCCATGCCGCAATCCCTTCTCCTCCATTCTCCTCTCGGGATCTTGGGCATGCATGCACACGTGCCCGGCGTGAGTTCTAAGCCACCGGGTCCGGGACGTGAACCGCTATTGACTACATGGGAGTCCAGCGACATAGCCATTACGCTAACTGCTGGTCCCTATAGCTGGTTCATTTTAACCCAGCCTCCTGGTCGTAGGTATAAGTTTAAACTTCCTCTGTGTATCCACTCTCCTGAGTCACTTCTAGCAGCTGCAGATTGTCCTTTGTATGCCCAGGTGGTGCCACCAGAGTTCCTTTGCCTCCTCTTTTGAATTCGGTTTTCTCACACTTGGATAGAGTGCATGGCTTGTTTCTTGCTTTGTATCATCCAGTTTCGGGTCTAATCTTACTAATTCCCCCGTTTGTTTTTTCTTTTCATCACGATTCTTAAGCTTGCTGTCCCACACTGACTGTTTTTCCGCTCATTCTGCTTATGGCTGTCTGACGTCTGCCATTTATTTAGTTCACACCTCTGAACCTCTCTGGTCCATCTGTGTCATGTGACTTCTGAGTATCTTCAATTTCAGATTCCAAATATGCCTCTCACTTTCTCTAAGATACTTTTTTTTTGAGAGGTTTTTATTTTTTATTTTTATTTACTTATTTATTTTTGCTATAGGGTGCGTGCGCTCGCCAGAAAGACAGAGAGAGACAGAGAGATAGAAAGCGAGAAATCAACCCCCAGGGGGGATGGCCACACCATAATCCCTTCTCCTCCATCCTCCTCTCGGGATCTTGGGCACACACGCACACGCATCCGGCCTGAGTTTAAGCCGCTGGGTCCAGAACTCGAACCGCAGTCGACTAAGTGGAAGTCCAGCGACATAGCCATTACACTAACTCCTGGTCCCATACTTACTTTTTTCATTTTATTATTTTTGTATATATTCAATGGCTATACATTACAGCACAGAAAATTAATTTTCCCAGCATGAAGACACTATTAATCCAAAGTTATTATCATATATGTTCTCAACAGATAACTTTCCATTTTTACGTCCCTCTCTGAGATAATATTTAAAACCATCATGCTTCTAAGTACCTTTCTTGCCCCCATCTTTATGATCGTTCCTATCTTTCGTTTTCGGCTTTCTGTATTCCAACTTAAGAGGTATTTTCTACATCTCCCACAGCTCTCATTTTCTTGTTCTTAATTAAGAGTACATTTCTTTTTTGACTCAACTTCATTTTTTCCTATATGCATGTTTTGAGAGATTCTGAACACTTCTTTGCCTATTCACTTAACCCAAACTATAATAAAACTCCCTGCTCTAGCTTCTAGTTCTCAACACCAAACTCTAAAAGCAATGCATACTCATTCCACTGACTAAAGCAGACAAAAAGTCTAGTTTTTCCAGCTGGCCCTCACCACAAATCTCTTCCCTATATATATATATATATATATATAGTCTAGGAGGATCAGTCTCTCACTGCCAAAATACCAGATTTAGCAGACTTTGAAGACAGGAAACACGGTTCGAGTCCCTATTCAAAGAGATACTGGCAAACTTGCTTAATTCAAATGACAGAACCTCTCAACTACAAAATGAGAATACCATCACCTACCTTGTTCTGAGGATCTAACAAATTAATATATGAGTCATGTAATTAATGTGGGGGGCAGCAGCAGGTCTAGCTAATTGTGGCCTGCAGACCAAGTCCAACCAGCTGCCTATTTAGGTGAGGAAAGCTTAAATAAAATGCACACTATACGTATCATTTATATATTATCTACAGCTATTTCTTCAATCCAGGGCTGTAGTTGAGTATCAGAACCTATGACCTAGAAAATGTGAAGTATTTATCGTCTGGTTCTGTAAGAGAGAATCATTCGAACCCTTTATCTGACCTATTTTGATAATGATTATGCTACTGATAAAAGGGGACGATCACCACTTCCCAGTCCACACACTGACAAAGAGAACAGGACAATGCCCTCCTCTCACTCATAAATACCAACACTGAATAATTGAAAAAAGGACAAGGAAAACAACATAAGATTTTACCAGAACCATAATCCAACCTGCATATGAACTGGGAGGTAAGCAAAATACAAATTTAAATAGATAATTTTACCTATTTCTTGGCAGGCTTCCTGTATCCTTTTCTTCGCAGTTACACATTTTAACCAGTCTTCTTTTGTACTTTTTATTCCTGAAACTATTTAAATATTCATTTTCAGATCTCTAGATATTTTTATTCATCTCCTTTAGAACTACAATGAAGGAAAATCAGGTAAACAGATTTTGGAAGGCACCTAAATATATTGTATAACATAACCCTAGAAAGGAGCTTGGAAAAATAATTCCTCCCAAACACTTGAATATCTTATAACTGAAAGCAACATGAGTTGCTTTTAAAATTCATCTTCACTATACAAATATGGTTTCCCCCACCCGGACTGAACATGCACGTCTCAAAGTATTTCAAGAATCAATATGAACTACTGACAGAAAGTTACCTACATTGCCTCTACCCACTCCCAATGCTATTATAGTCATGAGCCTAAGGATCCAAATGGAAAGCCTACTGAAATACTAATGTCATACATAATGCATTTTATACTTTATTTAATTATATGTCCCTAGGGGCCAACAGATGGCATGGTGGTTAAGGGCACTGGACTCCCACGTGGCCAAACGCAGTTTGAGTCCCAGACCAGGTGGCTTGGACTTGAACCGCGGGCGACTACGTGGGAGACCAGCGGCAT